TTTAGAAGCAACACATCTCAGTTTATCGCATCAAATTCTCGAAACAAATCAACAACCACATGTTCAAGTGATTGTTACGGCCCCTCTTTTATATTTTTATATGCTTTGGGGGAGAATATATGTGCTTAAATGTACTATTTTATACAAACATACACATGAAATATTATTATTTTATGTAAAAACTATAACTAGCTTATAAAATATTGGTTTAACATTTATATGTTATAAACTCATAAACTAGTTTTAAAACCTAGATATTTTCATATGTTATGTTGTTAAAACGATACAACTAATAAAAATAACATATGCCCTTTTACTACAAAACTCTATGATTTTATGTGACATTTTGTGTCATAAATAGCATGTCATAAAACTTTGTAGTATGACTAAGGATTTGAACTATAGATGTATATGTTCAAAAGTTTATACAAGATGTAACGACCCAAAAATCAAGGGTAAAAATTTCATTTTGAATATAGCTAAAACATTGATACCATTTATTTCGAACATTTCAAATCATCATTAAGTAAAACATTTATCAGAGTTCATCCCAAAATCATTCATTGCGGAAATCATAGGTGTGTGCATTGCGATCAATCCGAGCCCTTCTTTTCCAAATCGATGATACCTGAAACCAAAACTGTAAACCATAAGCACAAAGCTTAGTAAGTTCCCCAGAGCATACCCACACAATCCACATAGCCACATAATCCATATCAGCTATAACAGCTACATAAACCATATCAATCACATATCCATATCAATCACATAACCATGCATATAAACATATACGGATGCCATAGGCTCCCCGCATGGTCTTACACCTAAGTGTCATGGGCTCCCCCATGGTCTTCAATAGGAAAGCCATGGGCTTTCCACATGGTCTTACATCCAAGTGTTATGGGCTCCCCCATGGTCTTTAATAGGAAACCCATGGGCTCTCCACATGGTCTTACATCCGGGTGCCATGGGCTCCCCCCATGGTCTTCCATGCAAGTATCACAAAGACAACTAGTATACCACATACCACATAGTCAATAGCATACCACATATACATGCATACCAGACATATCAGTAGTGAATCTACAATAAACACTACAACTAACTGAATGGGCCGGCCTTGGTGCCTTAGATCCATTGGTATGGTGAGGAAACTCACCTGGCACTGTTGAAGTCCCGCGGATAAAACTCTAGTTGTTGTTGACAGGTTCGCGAACTGTCAATCATCAAAACGACACCCAATTAATAATCGGGTTCCAGTACATAACAATTAATCTACACTTGGGGTAAATGGACCATTTCACCCCTAACCTAGCTTGATTCCACAACCAAAGCCCAAACTCACACTCCGAAGGCCCAAAAGCCCAATAATCAACTAAGGCCCAACATATGGCCCAATTTTCCAAATTGGGCCCAAACCTCTACATGGGTTTATCTTAAGGCCCAACCATTTATTCTAGTCCAAACACTTGGCATTCTGATGGCCCAATAGCTACTAAACCTCAAGGCCCAATTATGGCCCACTTATGGCCCAATTTTCCAAATTGGGCCCAAGCCTCTCTAATGGGTCTTATCCTAAAGCCCAATAATTTCCTTAGTCCATAAATATGTTCCCAATTGGCCCACAAAGGCTCACAACAGCTTAGTCAAATAAATGGCCCAATAAGAACCCAAACCCAATTAGGTTTTTTCACATAAAATGACGATTAGGGTTAAGTGTTCCTACTTAACCCATTAAGGACTTAATCCATTAAGTCCAAACATACGATGAAATCGGGCTTGAGTAATAACTTCACTCCACTGGTCCAAAATGCGGGCCTCGATAAGTCCAAACCAATAATTCCAAAATTAGGGTTTTCTAAACCCTAATTAGGGTTTCCAACCCATCACAACCCAATTAGGCCCAAAATCTAAGTCCTTAGATCCATTAGGGTTTCGTTAGGCCCACTAGGGTTTCATTAGGCCCACTAGGGTTTCGTAAGTCGGGCACCACCCACTACCACCTCGGGTAGTGGTGGTCCACGGCGGCGGCCACCACCTCACGGCGGTGGTTATGGTTCTAGTCCATTTTTGTCCAAGCATCCCAAACGAAGTCTAAACACAAACAAAGCACACCGCCACCCAACATGGCGGCTGGTGGCGGCAGCCACCACCTCACGGTGGTGGTTAAGAGTTTTCTTTTGATTATACTAGCACCGATTACAATTTACAACACAAATCCCAAATAAACACACACACACTAAGATAAACACACACAACCACCCTTGTGGTGGCCGGCGGTGGTATATGGTGGCAGCCACCACCTCAAGGTGGTGGTGGTGGGTTTTTCAGCCAAAAGTCGCACATATAATCCCATGAACACAAAACACAGTTTGTACACTCGAACACACACCAAAACGCGCACACAACCACCTAGTGGCGTACATCGAACTAGGGCTGGCAAAATTGTATCACGGAAAACCAACCAACATGTTACCAACCGAACCAAAAAACTTGGTAGCCAATATATCTGGTAGCCAACATGTTTGGTTGGTAGTATCGTACCAATTTATCAATGTTGGTACGGTAATGGTACAAAAGTTTGAATACCATGGTAATACCGTACCAACCAATTCTATACTAAATATCAAAATCCCGATGTCTTTGCTTATTTTTAAATCTTACAATAAAAAATTAAAAGAAGTTGGTATATACCATTACCAATTTGTACCAACCAAACTTGTTGGTAGCCAAATAAATTGGTACCAAGTATACTTGGTACGGTACCGGTAACAATTTTTGTATAGCAATTATAGTTGGTACGGTGCACAGTTTAGAGAAAATTGAATTGGTACCGTACCAATTCCACCCTTACATTGAACGGAGGCAAAGGCAACCCTAGCAGCCGACGGCGGACGATGGTTCACAGCAGCAACAGACGCTTAGCGTCCGACGACGTCTTATCTTCAACGGAAACGGGAAGCGGCGGCAACCGAGGAATGCAACGACGACACTCTTTAGTGACGGAAAAGAACATGGTCTCCGGCGAGGAACAATGGCGGCGACTGGAGTCACGAACGGCGGTACAGCAGCGTGCGAGGTCGGCTTCGGGATTCCAGCTTTGTCGGCGATCTTCCGTTTACCCTTGACCTCCGGCAGCGAGGTTGTAGTGGCGGTGCTCGAACTCGACTTGGCGGCAGCCGGTGATGGGGAATACAAGGTTGGCGGCGACGGAGGTGGTCTATTGTGAGGGTGGCGGCTGTATAGAATATTAGGGTTAGGATTTGAGGAGGGCATGGGTGACGGGTTATATACACCCGTCACATTTCAACCTTTTGCCATAATAACACTTTCAGTCCCTCCTCATGAGATTGTGTTTTCAGTTTTAATCCAAAATTTACCATTTAGCCCCTGCCTTCTGAAATCTCTTTCAAATCAAGTCCAATACTTACCAAACACACCCTAACTTCTAAAAATCTTTACAAAATACATCCTTAAATTACACTTTGACCCCCGAAAGTCTAAAATATATCCTTTGGTTCCCCGAAACCAACTCTCCGCTAAATATTATTGATTTTAGGGCCATTATAAAATAATATAAATTATGAATTTACATCTTGGGGTTCTGGGTTTATTATTTAATTACTCTATTTCAAACAGGATGTTACACAAGAAACATACTTAGTTTTTAAAAGCTAGTGCCTTATACTATACATACATACCAATTATGCTCGAATGTTATAAACTCTATACAATTCATTGTGCCTAGTAACTTATCCACTTATAAGTTAGGGCCGAGAGTTATTCATATACCTTAGTTAAGGGCTTTTTAGAGAGACTATATTCATTAGCTAAGTCTAAACACTTAGTATACCCACACTACTATAACCGTTAATCTTCGGAGTGAGATATGTATGTAAAGATCTATACAGAGTTGACATCCCCACCTACGACTGCTAGCTACAACCTCGACCGATCCATCGAAATGGGTGATAAGTATCTATTATCGTCACTACAACGTACAATGAAGCGTTGTAGGGGGTACACTCAGTCACATAGCTCAGTTATAGGACTCACTATAAACATTAACTAGAACCTCTCTCTTTTATTACGAACCATGGGGGTTGGTTGTTTTCAAAATTATTTTAAGTAGGAATTTACTTATGCAAAGATACATTTTGGTTTTCAAAAGCTTATACTTACAAAGAAAAAACTTTTTAGACTTTTTAAAAATCACCAACCTTTTGTTGACACTCAAAGTCCATACATTTTCTAGGAACCATTTTTAACAAAAAAAATTCACAAACAATACATTAACAATTATAGATAACGGAATAACAAAAAAAGTGAAACGAAAACTAAGAGACTACCTTCTAGCTGTTGTGGTTGTGGCTAATATCATCTAAGCAATTGGAAAAACATATCTAATGTTCAGAAAGATAGAGAAATTGAATTAGGCAGGATCATCTTTATAAAAATTGAGATTCTGTGTGAAAATCAAATTTCACATTAATATTTGCAATAAGATATTTTACAGATTAACATAAAAAACCGAATTTCAAGAATGCTAGAACTTACACATATTCACAGACCACAGTCAGATTCTCGAATTTGCATATGAAAGAATAAGAAATCGAATTTCAATTTTCAAACTCCAGGGGATCCCGATTCTGAAATAGTACTTCAAACTTTGGATAATGATTGACTGGTTCTCGATTCTAGTGTATAGCATTAGCAATATGTCATATTTGAATTTAATCAAATAAAGTGAATAACTTTCGATTGGAGTTATTTCAGAAAAAAAATAAGGAGAAATAATCTATTATTAGAGTTGTAGTTTTCTGAAATCGTGTGTTACCCTGCATGTGGACGAATTTAGAAATCATAAAAGAAAAGATAAGAAATTGATTAGCTTGAATAAGTTTTTAAGAAATAGAAGAAAGTGAAGTTACTATGAACGACAGGGAGTTGTCTTCTGGAGAATCGGACGAGCGTTTTGGATTTTCCATACAAATTGAAAGATGATAATTCCTTGGAAAGTGAAAACGCAGGTAGGTATAATTCTCGCTCCTGTTCCCTCTTTTGGACATGGTGCCTCCCAGATTAGAACATCGAGCCCTTGAAAAACTAGTCCATAAGTCTTAAAATTAATGGGTTGCCACTATATAACTCTATATATACATATAAAATTTGGGGCTTTTGGTATTTGGGGGCCCGAGATGGTCGCCCAGCTTGCCCAGACCCATAGGCCGACCTTGTCTGTGCATGTACATGTTGGTGCTCAAACAACTCCAATTTTTACTAGTTTTTTTTTTGTACAATTAATTTCATAACAGATTTGACTCATCTTTTTAACAAATTATATAAAGTTTTATTTTTTGTTATGCATTTGTCTCGATTCCCTTTACGAATTTGCATTTTTAGGGTAAATTTATAAAAGAAATTATTAGCTCTAATTTTTATTTAACATTTTTTTATTTTTTTTCTACAAACTTTCTTAATTTTTCGAATAAAGTTTTGTTTAATTTTAAAATGCCCTAAATTTTTCATAACTTTTTTTTTACATATTTTCTTGTACAAATTTTAACAAAGTTAGGACAGTTTTTTGTAAAATAAGTATTAAAAAACAATTAAATAAAATTTTCTACAAAACAAATAACTTTTGATTTTTACTTATTATTATTAACTTATTATATTATAAATTTTTTTATTTTTTTATTTACTATATTATATATATTTGTAACTTTATTAGTTTGTAACTTTTTTAAGACCCAGAAAACAAGGTTTGGGTTTTCTACATTTTGATGTTCTCATACCGCAGGTGGGTCACGCGCCATAGACAAAGGGAGAGAGAGAGAAGGGAAAATAGGTAAGCGAGTGAAACTCCAAACAAACCCTAATCAGGCAATCCAATTTGGGGGAAAAAAAGTTCGTCCATCCACTCGCTCAACCCCGTCGCGTGGATTTTCCAGCTTCCAGCAGATCGAATTTAGCACCACCATTGATCCTCATTTTACATACACGAGGTACACCCGCTTCTCCTTTGCGATCTTCTTCTTTCATCCTTTAAACTTTGATCACTACTCACGACACAAACCCATGTATTTTGTTGTTTCTCCTTTTGGTTCTACTTCCACGCATGATAATCTTTCCAATCTGAACTGGGTTCATCTCGAGTGTACATAGAACTAGAGGATCCCCCAATTTTGGGCTGAAATTGGTGCCGCAGGTCGAAAATTGACAATTCTTATAATTCATCTTCTTTGATTTTTCGGCATGGTTAATCTGTACTTTGGTAGAGTTTAATTGTATTGCCATGGATTCTTCTTCTGGAATAACGTTGCCAGTAAAAACTGTCAATTTGCTCAAAAGATTGTAATGACGCCTGTACCTAAGACAGATGGACCATCTTTGTTTCAGCTCTTGATACTCCGACTAGCTTGCTCTAAATTCTGATATTTCTCAGTTGTGGTATACCATGGCAAAAGTCCACTTTAGATAGTCAACAGAATGAAGCTTTACTTAAAGATATCTATTGTTATATGACTATTGATGGAAAATTTTGTAGGCACATTAGATGTTCAATAGTTACTCCACTTTTTTGCGACATAAACAAGTACTTGGTATCCATGTAACGATATTCATACGTTCTATTTCTATATGTCCACATTGGTTCAACTATCTGGAAAGTATTAATTGTGTAGCTTTTGATTCTAATTTTCGTTTGTCTTCTTGAATTTTTTTTGATTCATTAATTCTCCGCATTGTATACTATCTTATTGGAACAAGCATCCATTTTTACTTCCAGATCAAGTACTTTAAGAACTCCTAAAAGTCATCTTGCCTGCATAATATCATTATTTTAATAAAATTTTCTCAATGTCATATCTAATGCAATGATTCACTAAGGATGTTGTTAGAAGGTTATCTTATGATTATGAATTATGATGGTAGTAAAAACTATGCAATATCATTGTCTGCACTTCTACTGCTTGAAAGCATCTTTTTTTACAGTTGAATGATGAGAAGAACATCTATGCAGCTTGCCTTTTGTATGTGTATTCTGTCTTTTTTTTCTTTGCTTTCAAGAGTGTATTTATTTATTCACATAGTTTTCACAAGGATCTTCCTGTTGCTTTTATATGCTAATATTCATCTTCCCTTGTAGGTAGCCACTGAAAGAATTGAGTGAAAACCCCTAAATCCTTACCATGGATATTGATCTTAGGCTCCCTTCTGGAGACCATGAAAATGAAGAGAAAGAAGAGGAGGCGAAAGAGATGAGCAACATGATAGATGCTGAACATAAAATACATAATGAAGAGTTTTTATCCATTCGAGACAAATCACCTCCTGAGAATGACATAGGACTGAATTCTCCATCACTTGATATGGCAGAATATAAAGAAGATGACATAAATCTTGAACCAATTGCAGGCATGGAATTCGAATCACATGGTGAAGCATATTCTTTCTATCAAGAATACGCAAGATCCATGGGTTTCAGCACTGCAATACAAAACAGCCGAAGATCAAAAACATCCAGAGAGTTCATTGATGCAAAATTTGCATGTTCAAGATATGGAACAAAACGTGAACATGACAAATCATTCAATCGACCACATGGCAGACATAGAACCAATCAAGATCCTGAAAATGCTTCTGGAAGAAGATCATGTTCCAAAACAGATTGCAAAGCAAGCATGCATGTGAAAAGAAGACCCGATGGAAAATGGATCATCCATAGATTCGAAAAAGAACACAACCATGAACTTTTACCTGCTCAAGCTGTCAGTGAACAAACAAGAAAAATGTATGCTGCCATGGCTAGACAATTTGCAGAGTACAAAAATGTTGTTGGTTTAAAGAATGATTCTAGTAACCCTTTTGATAAAACCCGTAACACAGCTTTAGAAGCAGGAGAGGCGAATATACTCTGCAAATTTTTTGTCCATATGCAGAGTATAAATTCGAATTTCTTTTATGCAATAGATGTAGGTGAAGATCAACGTGTGAAAAACATGTTATGGGCAGATGCAAAAACCAGACATGATTATGTCAACTTTTGTGATGTTGTATCATTTGATACATCATATGTTAAAAACAAATACAAAATGCCTCTTGCTCTTTTCATTGGGGTGAATCAACATTATCAGTTCATGTTACTTGGATGTGCTCTGCTATCTGATGAAAGTAGTGCCACTTATTCATGGGTTATGCAAACATGGTTGGCTGCAATGGGTGGAAGAGTTCCTAAAGTTGTGATCACTGATAAAGATCATAACTTGGAATCTTCAGTTGCTCAAATCTTTCCATCTTCAAAGCATTGTTTTTGTTTATGGAACATAATGGGGAAAATATCTGAAGCTCTTAATCAAGTGATTAAAGAGCATGATAATTTCATGGCGAAATTTGAAAAGTGTATCCATAGGTCATGGACAGATGAGCAATTTGAGAAGAGATGGTTTAAGATAATAGAAAGATTTGGACTTAAAGATTATGATTGGATGCAGTCTTTATATGAAACCCGTAAGCAGTGGGTCCCAATCTATATGAAAGATGTTTGTCTAGCTGGAATGTCAACTCCTCAAAGATCCGAAAGTGTAAACTGTTTTTTTGACAAATATGTCCATAGAAAAACGAGTGTGCAAGAGTTTATAAGACAGTATGAAACTATAATCCAAGATAGATATGAAGAAGAAGCAAAAGGGGATTCTGACACATGGAACAAACCTCCAACATTAAGGTCTCCATCACCTTTTGAAAAACACGTGTCAAGTATATACACACACACAGTTTTCAAGAAATTTCAAGTTGAAGTCTTGGGTGCTGTTGCTTGTATGCCTAAAAAAGAAGCACAAGAGGAAATGGTGGCGACTTTTAGGGTTTCTGATTTTGAAAAGAACATGGATTTCAATGTTTCTTATAACGAGTCAACATCTGAAGTGACATGTATCTGTCGTTTGTTTGAATTCAAGGGGTTTTTATGTAGACACGCGATGATTGTTCTTCAAATTTGTGGTCTTTCTACTATTCCATCTCAGTATATTCTGAAAAGGTGGACAAAAGATGTGAAGAACAGGGGTTTGATGTCTGAAGGGGGTGAGCAGTTGCAGTATAGGGTTCAGAGGTATAATGATTTATGTCAAAGGGCAATTAAATTGGGGGAAGAGGGGTCTTTATCTCAGGAGAGTTATAATTTGGCAATTGGTGCACTTGAAGAGGTTTATACAAATTGTGTTTGTTTAAACAATTCAAATAAGAATCTTATTGAAGTGGGGACATCAAGTGGTCAAGGTGTTTTGAGGATTGAAGATGATAATCAAAGAAACACACGTGCAAATAAAAAGAAGAATCCTATGAAGAAAAGGAAGGTTCTATTTCTGTACTTATATAGATGTTCAATTTATATAGTTATATAGATCTTATGCTAATTTTATGGATCCTTTTTATTGTAGGCAAACTCAGAGCAGGATATTATGACTGTTGGAGGCCAAGACAGCTTGCAGCAACTGGTTTGCATTTTTCTGTTTTTTTTTTAAATTAATTATATTTGTTTATGGATGAATGAATAATGGTGATTTGTGATTTTTACAGGACAAATTGAGCTCACGATCAATAGGTCTAGATGGGTATTTTGGTCCACAGCAAAGTATGCAAGGAATGGTAGGGTTTGATTATATAAGTAGTAAACCATATTTTTATAAAATGTTCTAGTTTTGTAGTTGATTCAGTATTTTTTTTTTGTGGTTAATTAAGGTTCAGCTTAACTTGATGGCACCTTCAAGAGATAATTATTATGGAAACCAACAAGCTATTCAAGGACTGGTACATCATCTTATCTCATCTCATAAATTATGATTTAGTTTTAAAAAGTTTAGATTTGTTATTTGTATTGTAATTTGTATAGGGACAATTGAATTCAATAGCACCAAATCATGAGTGTTATTATGGTGCTCAACCTACCCTTCATAGCCTGGTATGTTGTGATCATTATGTTTTTACAAATACAAATGTTGATGTTACTTACTTGTGATTTAATTTTAAAATAAAAAGTTTATTTTTTTGTTATTTGTGATATATATAACAACAGTCTAGGGTTGTTGTCTGCAGGGTCAAATGGACTTCTTACGTGCACCAGGCTTCACATATGGCATTCGGGTTGGTTTCTCTTGTCTTTTTGTAGGGCTATTTTCGTCTTTTGCATTGTCCCACTCCCACCTTTTTGGTTTTGTTATATGATAGGAGGAGCCTAGTGTGCGAACCACCCAATTGCATGATGATGGGTCAAGACATGCATGAGCTTATTATGTTATGGTGAGCGGATCTTTTTATTTGCCAAGGAGAGAATAGTTTTGAGATGGAAGAGGGTGTAGGGGACTCACTTGGATGGGAATTTACTGTTTTGCCCATGAATCACCACGAGGAGAGCTTCAAAGGTGTATCTTCATCATCCTGTATGTATGTATGTATGTGTTGTGGGAGAAAAGTTAGGAGCTGTTGTCCCACAAAATTTGTTGTATTAAGGGGTATTTTCCACGCCAAGTCTTTATGAATATGAAAATCAAAATTAGAATATGAGCAAAATATGTAAGTTAATGATTTATCTTGTTGTAAAAAAGGTTGTGTATTGAAATAATTCAACTCTATATGGGCATATGCTTATTCAAACTTGATGTGCTTGTGTCATTTTCGGTTTGCTAAATGAGTTTTTATTGTTGTTACTGGCAGCGAGTAGTTGAGTACTAGCGACCCGACCAGGTTTAATACAAAGAAATTACTTTTTTTTTAAACCACAAACTAATCTTAGTCCTAATTACACATATGTCTTAAGTGAGACTTGAATCTATGACCTTCCAATTGAGAGTCAACTCCTCAAATTGGATACCTGGTTTTAATGTGAACTCGATATAGAATCTTAATTACACAATAGTCGGTGTTTGATTTAATCTAGTAAGAATATTTTTATGGAAAAAAGGTCTATAGGCTCTAATGCTCAATTTATAGACTCTTGTTTATTTCATTAGAGCATATAAATAAGGCTCATTAGAGCCTATAAATAGGGCAATTCTCAATTATGTAGGCTATAATTGAGAATTGCCCTATTTATAGGGGTCTAAATTGTAAAATAAGGCAATTGGAAGGTCATAGGTTCAAGTGTCTTACACTTTATGTTACATCCTACTGACACTTACTTTATGTCACATTTTACACATTACATCCTACCGACACTTTACAATAATTAATCTACCGACAATAATAACGAAAAATGACAAATATAATAAATTACAAACCCTTTCACAACGAAAGGACGCGTGTTTTCAGTAATGTCTTCAATAATGTCTTTATGCGTCATTGTCTGCGTCAATCGGATTTGTAGTTTATTATATTTGTCATTTGTCGTTATTATTGTCGGTAGCTTAATTATTGTAAAGTGTCGGTAGGATGTAATGTGTAAAATGTCGGTAGGATGTAATGTGTAAAATGTGACATAAAGTAAGTGTCAGTAGGATGTAACATAAAGTGTAAGTCCCTTGATAGTCTAGGAGTCTAAATTGTAAAATAGGTTTGTCGTGTTGCAATCATACGATTGCAATTCTCAATTATGTAACCGGCTCATTAGAGCCTATAAATAGGGCATTTGCCCATATGAAATAAACAAGGTGTTTTTAAGTGTTTAAGGCTTGAGTTAATTCTCAATGTTCTTCCTTTGTTGAAATAGTTTATCTATTTCTGAATAGCAGAGCCTTCTATCCAAATCCATCTATATAATCATCCAATATAATCCAAACAATCCATCATCAATTAAGAATATCATCAAAAGATCATCCCGATGCAACCTCCGTGCAATTTGGTATCAGAGCAAGGTATCGTTCTTATTATGAATTCACATCGTTATTTGTCATGCATAATCATCACAAGATATCATTCATCGTTTCATGAATATATATCAATCATGCATCATCATAAATTTCATATCATAATCATCATAAAAAATAATAGTCATAATAAACTCCACTATCACCATCATTTTTAACTATAATTTTTAATCGTAATTCTGATCTAAAACATAACTAAATTATTGTTCTTATAGAATTACAATCATGAGTTTTTCAAGTCTAAATAATAATAAACAAGAATTAAATTTTTTTGTAAAACACTAAAACAATCTAAAAAATTTCTTTTAGATTTAAAAATAGATTCCAACATATCAATAATCAATTGCATATCTAATATTAAATCAATACATATAATAGATAATAGTATAAATTGGAAACAAAAACAAATAAAAAATCTTGAAGATAAGATAACAAGATTAATTTGTTAAATATGTCTCAAGAAATAGAAAATTCACCAATAATTATTAATAACGAAGAAAATGAATATGGATACACTTTTGATGCTCTAATTAATAAAAGTAATATTAATAAAGATGCTATAAGAAAATCAAATTTTAAACTATCAGAAAAACATAATTTTAGAAATAACTCATTAAAAAAATTCTTTTCTAGAAAAAATATTATATACTATGGAAAAATTATATGAGAAGAATTAATACACATAGAATCAACTAAAGGAAATATTATTATACCTATAATAAATAAACAACAAATTAAAATAGATTATCTAATATTAAAGAAGTGGATAAAATAAAAATTGCTTATATTCATATATCAACTATTCAAGTAATTTTAAAAAGTACTTTTAGTGACTTAGATACACCATTAAAATTAGAAATCAGAGATGATCATATAATTAACAAACAAGAAAGTATTATTGCAAAAGGAAAATGTTATTTAATTGAAGGAAAAATAAAATTTAATATTAATATTCAACTAGGATTAAGTCTTAAAGATAAAAATCTAAGTAATAGTATTACCGTACGATATAAATTATTAAGACAAAATTTTATGTTAAAAGGTAATCATTCATTTATTATTACATATCAAATAAATTATGCACTAACAAATTCTCATCATAGTATTACGTTTAAAACAGAAGATAGAATTTATATAGATAAATTATTTACCCATTTATTATCCATTGAATCACCAAATATGGCTAATAATAAAATATGTAATTAAGCTAATTTTCAACCAATAATAACTACTCCGTTAATAAAAAAAATCCAATTATAAAACCTTCAAATTCAACTATAATAAGTAGATCCTCCATCTCGGAAAATCAACCTCCAACTTCTGCTGAAAATAAAGATGAAAAATTAGAAGATATTAAAGAAATAATTAAATCATTAAGTTTAAGAATATGACAGAATCATCTAGTAATTCCTTAAAATATTTTAAAACATTTGTAGGTCCATATCAAAATACAAAACTATGCATACCAGATAAAGAAAGGGTAAATGTCACTATAGCCCAATCAACTATCATCATTTATCCGATTTGGTTAGTGAAGTATTTTTTTTGCTCAATAGGTCATTAAACTTACAACTTACCTGTCTATTAAGTCACTTTCGTTAGTTTTTAACATATTCTCCGTTAACCAATTATTATAAATTACACGAATGATCCTTATGATTTCAATTTCTTTCGTGGTTGATCCCACACTAACACAGTTCATCACCGACATCACTAACGTACAATTCCGGCAACCACCACCCTTCAACTCGGGCAACCCCCTTAACTATTATTCTAAAATACGATCACTCACAAAAAAATCTCAAACAATTTTAATTTTCATAAAAAAATAATTTCAGCGAGTTTCAATTTTAAAGAATGCAATTTGAAAAAAAAATGTTTAGAATCAACATTGAATGAAAGTGTAACAATATATATTTGCTAAATAAGAAATTAATTACCAACAAGATATTTGTGAGTTAATTTTTTCCTACAAAGAATGCATCAAAACTCCTTACCTTCACAAAGTATATACATGACATGCATATTTGAATTGGATTATCCGAATGAAATTGTTACACCATACAATAGTAGATGCAGTTCACTAAGTACCAACGTATACATTTTTATTTGCGACAATAACCCCATATTAAAAACTGATCATTTTTAATGCAACTATTTCACCAAATAATATTAAATGCAGTTTGCAAACTTCTGAGATGACACGTTTTAGTGATCTAACATATTTTTGGTCGATTTAAGGGATTTAAGTGGTTGGAGTTTCTACCAAATGTATCATATTTTTACTTAAAATTGACCGGTAAACTAAACTCTAAGTCAAAAATCATGGGGGTTGCTCGAGGTGAATGTTGGTGGGTGCCGGAAGTGGACGGTGGTGGTGCAGGTGATGAACGATGCTGGTAAAGAACCAACCACAAAAGAAAATTGAAATCATAGGGATCATTCTTGTAAATTATACTAACTGGTTAACAGAGGATCTGTTAAAAACTAACAAAAGTGACTTAATAGACATGTAAGTTGTAAGTTTAATGACCTATCGAGCAAAAAAAATACTTTAGTGACCAAATCGGATAAATGACGATAGTTGATTGGGCTATAGTGACATTTACTGATTATAGAAATACCACAAGGAACATTATATAATATTGGTCTTAGTTCTGAAGAAGATAAACCAATAGGAGATAAATTAAATATAATTATTCAAAAATTAAATAATATTATAGAAATAGAAAGTTTACTTGTATTAAAAAAATCCTGAATTATTACAAAATTTAACTCAACAGAAAATATTACTTGAAAAATATTTAAAAATAAAAATTATTAAAGAAGAACCACTTAATGAAAAACCACCACTTAAAGAAAACACACTTACTATTAAACGACCTTTCACATGGTAAATAAAATTATGAGCAATAAAACTCAAATATTGTAATTTCGATAATAAATATAAAGTTAATTTACTTAAAAAAATTATGGAAAGATTTAGAAAATTCCACAAAACATTTAAAAGAAAAAGAATCTGAAGTACACGGATTAATTTCTAAAAACAAGAATTATATTGCATTTCAATTAATTAAAATTGGAAGATTAAGAACTCAAATTAATCATTTTAAAATAGTAATAAAAAATCTTAACAATTCAATTAATTTTCTTTCAAACACTTTACTAATTTGTTAAAATGAATTCAAAAGTACAAATTAATTCTTCAAAAATAACATGCTTTGGACTAATATATTAAAAAACCATTGGAAAATAAACTCTAATATCTCTAATACTATTCAACATTTAGAAGATACTTTATCATATAAAGAAAACTATTTATTAAGATTACAATCAGAAAATGAAGAATATAATAATCAATTAAAAAAGATATCTCGATTACAAGAAGGAATTAAGAAATACAAAAAATTACAACATCGTAATTTAAAAGCAATACGCAATGTTTCAACCATCCTAACAAAAACAATTTGTTAATATGAAAACTGTACTAGAAAAAATAGAAACATTAATTAAATACAGATATAGAAATTTATAAACTGACTCTAATGAGTAGAAGAAAACAAATATTAACTCAAACAGTACATTTATTACAACTAAAATACAAGATAAAGAACTAGTTTCATATATAGATACAGAAGCTACTTTATGTTTTGGAAGAAAAAAGATATTAAAAAATCGGGAAAAATTAGAAAACCCATTAAAAATTACAATTGTTGATAAATCAATTCACAAAATTTGGTTCGTAGGAAGAGACATAAATATAGTAATTGAAAAAACAC